TATATAGCTGTCTACAAGAGATCCACTTCAGACCTAGGGACACATACAGACTGAAAGTGAGAGGATGGAAAAGATATTCCACGCAAATGGAAATCAAATTAAAGCTGGAGGAGCAACTCTCATATCAGAAAAAACAGACTTTAAAATAAAGACTATTACAAGAGACAAAGAAGGACACTAAATAATGATCAAGGGATCAATCCAAGAAGAAGATGTAACAAGTGTAAATATTTATGAACTGAAAATAGGAGCACCTCAATACCGAAGGCAAATCCTAATAGCCATAAAAGGGGAAATTGACAGTAAGACAATGATAGTAGGGGACTTTAACACCTCACTTTCACCAATGGACAGATCATCCAAAATGAAAATAAATAAGGAAACACAAGCTTTAAGTGATACATTAAAAAAGATGGCCTTAATTGGACAGTCAATCCAAAACAACAAAATAATCTTTCTTTTCAAGTGCTCATGGAACATTCTTCAGGACAGATCATATCTTGGGCCACAAATCAAGCCTTGGTAAATTTAAGAAAATTGAAATTGTATCAAGTATCTCTTCTGACCAAAATGCTATGAGACTAGAAGTCAATTACGGGGAAAAAAAAAAAAGTAAAACATACAAACACATGGAAGCTAAACAATATGCTATTAAATAACTAAGAGATCACTGAAGAAATCAAAGAGGAAAGCAAAAAATACCCAGAAACAAATGACAATGAAAACAAGATGACCTAAAACCTATGGGATGCAGCAAAAGCAGTTCTAAGAAGCAAGTTTTAGCAACAGAATCCTGCCTCAAGAAACAAAAAACATCTCAAATAAACAACTTAACTTTACACCTAAAGCAGTTAGAGGAAAAAGAACAGAAAACCCCCAAAGTTAGCAGAAGGAGAAAAATCATAAAGATCAGATCAGAAATAAATGAAAAAGAAATGAAGGAAACAATAGCAAAGATCAATAAAACTAAAAGCTGGTTCTTTAAGAAGATAAACAAAATTGATAAACCATTAGCCAGACTCATCAAGAAAAAAAGGGAGAAGACTGAAATCAACAGAATTAGAAATGAAAAAGGAGAAGTAACAACTGACACTGCAGAAATACAAAGGATCGTAAGAGATTACTACAAGCAACAATATGCCAAAAATAGACAACCGGGAAGCAAGGGACAAATTCTTAGAAAAGCATAACCTTCTGAGACTGAACCGGGAAGAAATAGAAAATATAAACAGACCAATCAAAAGCACTAAAATTGAGACTGTGATTAAAAATCGTCCAACAAACAAAAGCCCAGGACCAGATGGCTTCCCAGGTGAAATCTTTCAAACATTTAGAGAAGAGCTAACACCGATCCTTCTCAAACTCTTCCAAAATATAGCAGAGGGAGGAACACTCCCAAACTCATTCTCTGAGGCCACCATCACCCTGATACCAAAACCAGACAAAGGTGTCACTAAAAAAGAAAACACAGGCCAATATCACTGATGAGCATACATGCAAAAATTCTCAACACAATACTAGCAAACAGATTCCAACAGCACATTAAAAGGATCATACACCATGATCAAGTGGGGTTTATCACAGGAATGCAAGGATTCTTCAATATACGCAAACCAATCAATGTGATACACCATGTTAACAAACTGAAGAACAAAAACCATATGAAACACTCAATAGATGCTGAAAAAGCTTCAACAAAAGCTTACACCTATTTATGATAAAAACCCTCCAGAAAGTAGGAATATAGGGGACTTACCTCAACCTAATAAAGGCCATATATGACAAACCCACAGCCAACATTGTTCTCAATGGTGAAAAACAGAAACCATATCCACTACGATAAGGAACAGTACAAGGTGGCCCACTCTCACCACTCTTATTCAACATAGTTTTGGAAGTTTTAGCCACAGCAATCAGAGAAGAAAAAGAAATAAAAGGAATCCAAAAGAGAAAAGAAGAAGTAAAGCTGTCACTGTGTGCAAATGACATGATACTATACATAGATAATCCTAAAGATGCTAGCAGAAAACTACTAGAGCTAATCAATGAATCTGGTAAAGTAGCAGGATACAAATTGATGCACAGAGATCTCTTACATTCCTGTACACTAATGATGAAAAATCTGAAAGAAAAATTAAGGAAACACTACTTTTTACCACTGTAACAGAAAGAATAAAATACCTAGGAATAAACCTACCTAAGGAGACAAAAGACCTGTATACAGAAAATTATAAGGCACTGATGAAAGAAATTAAAGATGATACAAACAGATGCAGAGATATACCATGTTCTTGGATTGGAAGAATCCATACTGTGAAAATGACTATACTACCCAAAGCAATCTACAGATTCAATGCAATTCCTATCAACCTACCAATGGCATTTTTCACAGAACTAGAACAGAAAATTTCACAATTTATATGGAAACAGAAAAAACCCCAAATAGCCAAAGCAATATTGAGAAAGAAAAACAGAGCTGGAGGAATCAGGCTTCCTAACTTCAGACTATACTACAAAGCTACAGTAATCAAGACAGTATGGTACTAGCACAAAAACAGAAATATAGATCCATGGAACAGGATAGAAAGCCCAGAGATAAACCCATGCACATATGGTCACCTTGTGTTTGAGAAAGGAGGCAAGAATATACAATGGAGAAAAGACAGTGCTTTCAATAATGGTGCTGGAAAAACTGGACAGCTACATGTAAAAGAATGAAAATAGAACACTCCCTAACACCATACACAAAAATAAACTCTAAATGGATTAGAGACATAAATGTAAGGCTAAACACTATAAAACTCTTAGAGGAAAACATAGGAAGAACACACTTTGACATAAATCACAGCAACATCAGTTTTGACCCACCTCCTAAAGAAATGGAAATAAAAACAAAAACAAAGGGGACCTTATGAGACTTAAAAGCTTTTGCACTGCAAAGGAAACCATAAACAAGATGAAAAGACAATCCTCAGAATGGGAGAAAATATTTGCAAACGAAGCAACTGACAAAGGATTAATCTCCAAAATTTACAAGCAGCTCATCCAGCTCAATATCAAAAAAACAAACAACCCAATACAAAAATGGGCAGAAGACCTAAATAGACATTTCTCTGAAGAAGACATACAGATGGCCAAGAAGCACATGAAAAGCTGCTCAACATCACTAATTATTAGAGAAATGCAAAGCAAAACTACAATGATGTATCACCTCACAGCAGTTAAAATGGGCATCATCAGAAAATCTACAAACAACAATAGCTGGAGAGGGTGTGGAGAAAAGGGAACCCTCTTGCACTGTTGGTAGGAATGTAAATTGATCCAGCCACTATGGAGGTTCCTTCAAAAACTAAAAATAGAAGTACCATACGACCCAGCAATCCCAGTACTGGGCATATACCGAGGAAACCATAATTCAAAAAGAGTCATATATGATGTTCACTGAAGCACTATTTACAATAGGCAAGACATGGAAGCAACCTAAGTGTCTACTGACAGATGAATGGATAAAGAAGATGTGGCACATATATACAATGGAATATTACTCAGCCATAAAAAGAAACAAAATTGAGTTATCTGTAGTGAGGTGGATGGACCTAGAGCCTGTCATACAGAGTGAAGTAAGTCAGAAAGAGAAAAACAAATATCACATGCTAACACATATATACGGAATCTAAAAAAAAAATGGTTCTGAACAATCTAAGGGCAGGACAGGAATAAAGATGCAGACATAGAAAATGGACTTGAGGACATGGGGAGGGGAAAGGGTAAGCTAAGAAGAAGTGAGAGAGTGGCACTGACATATATACACTACCAAATATAAAATAGATAGCTAGTGGGAAGCAGCCACACAGCACAGGGAGATCACCCTGGTGCTTTGTTAGCAGCTAGAGGGGTGGGATATGGAGGGTGCGAGGGAGACGCGAGAGGGAGCGCATATGGGGATATATGTATACATAGAGCTGATTTACTTTGTTATATAGCAGAAACTAACACAACATTGTAAAGCAATTATACTCCAGTAAAGATGTTTTAAAAAATTGCAAAATTAAAAAAAATAAAAAGAGAGGCAGCAAAACTCATGAAAGAAATTATAAAGTTTTCAATAAAGACTAAACTGGAAGGAACACAGAAAAAATAAGTTCAATTTGTAACTCCTTCAGAAAAATAAAAGATAGAAAGGCAAAAATATTTAAATTAAAAAAATGAAAAGATGATAACATTGGAAGAAAAAAGTAATACCAAATCTAACCACAGAAGATTCACTATCAGTACTACAGAAGTCCCAAAATAAAATCAAAGCAATGCAACTGAATAAACTGCTTAAAATTTTTAAAAAACCTTATTGAAATAAAAAGATTTGAAACCATACACTGAAAAGGCAGATTGCATACTTGGGAAATAAACTCAGAACAGGAAAACCTAAGCCATACAGCAGTAAATATACAAATACCTAAAGAAAAAGAAAAAAATCTTTTAGGCATCTAGGCAACAGTTACAGAATATAAATGTTTTTCAGGATAGGTCATGCTGTGCCATAAATCAAGATTCAATGAAACAGACTACAACAGTTAAATTAGGAATCAAAACAAATAAGACATTTTTAGAATCCTGCATATTTTATAATTTAAAAACACATTTCTAATAACTCATTTCAAAGAAGAAATCACAAACTGAATAGTAATAAAATATAACATATTAAAATTTGTGAGATATAACTGAAGTAGTACTTAATAAGAGAAATTTATAGCTTTAATCACTCATATAAGGAGGGAAACAGATATGAGTCAGTTATCTAAGTTTCCAGTTTAAGAAACTAGAAAAAGAAGACTTAAACCCCAAGAAGTCAGGGAAAGAATAACAATGAGATCAAAATACAATAAATAAGAAGTTAGACAACAATAGGGAAGAAGTTGATTCTTTGAAAAGTTTTGAAAGTCAATAAACTTAGTAAGACTATACCTCAATAGTTTACTATAAAACAGCAACAAAAATCTTACCTTGGCCAATTCTGTAATTTTACCAAAACCAGGCTTCCAAGAGGGAGCTGTGAATAGACGATCTTAAATCCACTTTGATGAAGCTGAGACTCTTCAGGAAAGTCTTCTTCAGAAACAGAGCACTTATTGTACCTTAAGTCAGTGTTCATGAAGCAGTACCATGATTCATTGTGATCAACTTTGGCTGCATCCTCACTTGACAACAATCTCCATTTCAAACAACTTTCATTCTCACACTGAACCCACACTTTGTTTACATAAATGTTGTTTTCCACTGAGGAATCCATTGCCGTATTACAATATTCTGCTATCATCTTACTATTCAATTTTCCTTTTTCCATAAATGCATTTAATCTGGAAAATAAATAACAGGAAAATAAAAGAATAAGATTTCAGGGTATAAGGAGAGAAAGTTAAAGCCAAAATCCGAGAAGTGGCTCTTTTATAACTTTTTTGCCCACCTCCTCTCTGTACATGCTGAACATGTTACGTTTCCACCTACCCAGAAACAAAGGAACAAAACAGAAGCATCAATCACTCTGGTCATAAAATGCTCCAAAATTAAAAATAAGAAAAGTATGATGGAGCAGAAGTGGAGTAGAGGTTTACTCTAATATCTATTCTATTACCAGTTAGTACATATCCAGTACTTTTGCCATAATAACAGCTAAGCCTTATTCAGTGCTGACTGTGAGCCAAATACTATTCTAAGTGCCTTATGCACACAGCTTATAGTCTTCCCAACAACCTCAGTATGAGCACTTTTAGAGAGAAAAGAAAAGCTTAGAAAAGTATAGTAATTTATTTAAAGTCCCAGAGGTACTATGTGACAGAGTTGGGATTTAAATGCAGGCAGTTTTCTCCCTAATTGTGTGGTCTTATCCACTAGGCAGTACTGCCTCTTGGGTATATGGTGGACATAGTGTGACTTGATCCCCTTTTCTAATTCTGAGGAAAATCAAAGGTAGCAAAATATTTCACCATGTGAAAATTTGAAATTTATTTTAAAAAAATTAAAGGATTCTTTTGCTTATATAGCTTTGCCTTTTATCCATTATTAATTCAAGTGATTTGAAAAAAATTTCTCAGAGGTTTTTTATTATGAAAATTTTAAACATATAAAACGTTAGAATTATATGAGTTAGCCCCTGACTTCTAGCAAAAATAATAATAGTTACGTGTATACTAAAAAATAAGTAATATAGCTGAAATACAAGAAAAACTATCAGCAACTTTTTTTTTTTTTTTGCGGTATGTGGGCCTCTCACTGTTGTGGCCTCTCCCATTGCGGAGCACAGGCTCCGGAAGTGCAGGCTCAGCAGCCATGGCTCACGGGCCCAGCCTCTCTGCGGCACGTGGGATCTTCCCAGACAGGGGCACGAACCCGTGTCCCCTGCATCGGCAGGCAGACTCTCAACCACTGCGCCACCAGGGAAGCCCTCAGCAACTTATTTTGTAATACAAAACCTATTTTTTAAAAAAAGACTTACATATACCATATTAATAAATCAGTAGAACAACCACTATCCAATATAAGCACCATTTAAAGAAGCTCTTAATCCATGAGTTAATTGTATAATTAGAAACACACTTATAATCACACTTTCCATGATCACTACAAATCGCTTTAGAATAAAATTTGCCAATATATTTCAATAGCCATAGCCACAATTTTTGACCTATTAATCCCACTCATTTGAATGTATACAAAGAAAATAAACTTAAAAGAGACTAACCTAATGAGGAAAACAATAGCAAAGATGAATAAAACTAAAAGCTGGTTCTTTGAGAAGATAAAAAAAATTGATAAACCACTAGCCAGACTCCTCAAGAAAAGAAGGGAGAGGACTCAAATCAAAAAAAATAGAAATGGAAAAGGAGAAGTTACAACTGAAATCACAGAAACACAAGGAATTATAAGAGACTTCTACAAGCAACTATATGCCAGTAAAATGGACAACCTGGAAGAAATGGACAAATTCTCAGAAAAGTATAACCTTGAACACTGAATCAAGAAGAAACAGAAAATATGAACTGACCAATCAGAAGTAATGAAGTTGAAACTGTAATTAAAAATCTTCCAACAAACAAAGTCCAGGACCAGATGGCTTTCCAGGCGAATTCTATCAAACATTTAGAGAAGAGCTAATGCCTATCCTGTTCAAACTCTTCCAAACAATTGCAGAGGGTGCAACACTCTCAAACGCATTCTATGAGGCCACCGTCATCCTGTTACCAAAACCAGACAAAGATATCACAAAAAGGAAAACTGCAGGCCAATATCACTGATAAACATAGACGTAAAAACCCTCAACAAAATACTAGCAAACAGAATCCAACAACACATTAAAAGGATTATACACCACAATCAAGTGGGATTTATCCCAGGGATGCAAGGATGCTTCAATATATGCAAATCAATCAATGTGATACACCATATTAACAAACTGAAGAATAAACACCACATGATCATCTCAATAGATGCAAAAAAAGCTTTTGACAAAATTCAACATTGATATATGATAACTCTCCAGAAAGTAGGCAGAGAGGGAACCTAGATCAACATAATAAAGGACACATATGGAAAACCCACAGCAAACGTTATTCTCAATGGTGAAAAACTGAAAGCATTTCCTCTAAAATCAGGAACAAGACAAGGGTGTCCACTTTCATGACTATTATTCAACAGTCTTGGAAGTGCTAGCCATGGCAATCAGAAAAGAAAAAGAAATAAAAGGACCCCAAATTGGAAAAGAAGAAGTACAACTGTCACTGTTTGCAGATGACATGATACTATACATAGAAAACCCTAAAGATGCTACCAGAAAACTATGAGAGCTAATCAATAAATTTAGTAAAGTTGCAGGATACAAAATTAATCCACAAAAATCTATTGCATTCCTATACACTAACAATGAAAGATCAGAAAGAGAAATTAAGAAAACAATCCTATTTACGACTGCAACAAAAAGAATAAAATACCTAGGAATAAACCTAACTGAGGAGGCAAAAGACCTGTACTCAGAAAATTATAAGATGCTGAAGAAAGAAATCAAAGATGACAGAAACAGATGGAGAGATATACCATGTTCTTGGATTGGAAGAATCAATATTGTGAAAATGACCATACTACCCAAAGCAATCTACAGATTCAATGCAATCCCTATCAAATTACCAACGGCATTTTCCACAGAATTAGAACAGAAAATTTTATGATATTTATGGAAACGCAAAAGACCCTGAATAGCCAAAGCAATCTTGAGAAAGAAAAACAGAGCCGGAGGAATTAGGCTCCCTGACTTCAGACTATACTACAAAGCTACAGTAATCAAGACGGCATGGTACTGGCACAAAAACAGAAATATAGATCAATGGAACAGGATAGAAAGCCCAGAGATAAACCCAAGCACCTATGGTCACCTAAGCTATGACAAAGGAGGCAAGAATATACAATGGAGAAAAAACAGCCTCTTCAATAAGTGGTGCTCAGAAAACTGGACAGCTACACGTTAAAGAATGAAATTAGAACACTCCCTAACACCATACACAAAAATAAACTCAAAATGGATTAAAGACCTAAATGTAAGGCCAGACACTATAAAACTCTTAGAGGAAAACATAGGCACAACACTCTTTGACATAAATTGCAGCAAGATCTTCTTCGATTCACCTCCTGGAATAATGAAACAAAACCAAAAATAAACAAATGTAACCTAATTAAGTTTTGCACAGCAAAGGAAACCATAAGCAAGACGAAAAGACTACCCTCAGAATGGGAGAAAATATTTGCAAACGAAGCAACTGACAAAGAATTATCTCCAAAATATATAAGCAGCTCAATCAAATAATGGGCAGAAGACCTTAATAGACATTTCTCCAAAGAAGACATACAGATGGCCAACAAATACATGAAAAAATGCTCAACATTACTAATTATTAGAGAAATGAAAATCAAAACTACAACCAGGTATCATCTCGCAGCAGTCAGAATGGCCATCATTAAAAAGTCTACAAACAATAAATGCTGGAGAGGGTGTGGAGAAAAGAGAACCCTCCTATGCTGCTGGTGGGAATGTAAATTGATACAGCCACTATGGAGAACAGTATGGAGGTTCCTTAAAAAACTACAAATAGAACTACCATACGACTCAGCAATCCCACTAATTGGTATATACCCAGAGAAAACCATAATTCAAAAAGTCATGTACCACAGTGTTCACTGCAGCACTATTTACACTATTTACAATAGCTAGCACATGCAAGCAACCTAAATGTCCATCAACAGAGGAATAGATAAAGAAAATGTGGTACATATATAAAATGGAATATTACTCAGCCACAAAAAGGAATGAAATTGGGTCATTTGTAGAGATATGGATGGACCTAGAGAGTGTCATACAGAGTGAACTAAGTCAGAAAGAGAAAAACAAATATCGTATATTAACGCATATATATGGAATCTAGAAAAACGGTATATATGATCTTATTTGCAGAACAGAAATAGAGACACAGACATAGAGAACAAACGTATGGACACCAAGGGAGGAAGTGGGGGTGGAATGAATTGGGAGATTGGGATTGACATATATACACTATTGATACCATGTATAAAATAGATAACTGATGAGAACACACTGTATAGCTCAGGGAACTCTACTCAGTGCTCTGTGGTGACCTAAATGGGAAGGAAATCAAAAAAAGAGAGGATATATGTATATGTATAGCTGATTCACTTTGCTATACAGTAGAAACTAATACAACGTTGTAAAGCATCTGTACTCCAATAAAAATTAATTATAAAATACAAAAACTAAAAAAATTTTTTAAAAGTGACTAACTTATACATACAAAGACCAACAATATTCACTGTGCACTGCTTATCATATTGAAAGAGTGGAAAAAATCTAAAAACAGGAAGAACAAAATCTAAAGGAAGATTATGAAATGTTGCTGAGATATATATATATATATATATATACACACACACACACATATATATGAATTTGGCTAATACTTTTGCAAGGAAATTTATGAGGAATAATACTGCATTTTATATTACAGTTGAAGTGGGTCACTAGACAGTAGATTAGAAGTTGTTGACTCCAGACTTTGGAACCAAATGAAATGTGAATTCCTCTGAGGCTCTGCTCCTCACCAGCTCTATATCCTTGGGCAAGGCATTGTTTTGCATTTCACTTCACATTTGGTGTACTTCCTCATGTTTGTGTGTGTATGATAGCTTTCTTTTTCTTTTTCTATTTCCAATCCTTATGTCTTCTTTTATTACACTGGCTAGGACAGGTATAATATTGAACAGAAGCCACTATCCTGATTTTTTTTCTAATTTTAAAGAG